CCACCTCCAAAGTAACAGATACCATACACACATTTGTACACTTCACACACTTTCCTCCATATTAGGGACGTAACTAACCCAGAGGCCCTTTAATTATTTAGAAGAAATGTGATATGACGTCATTACCAAGGCTGTGTTCTAGGAAAAATTCTAGGGAGCCCTTTGGGCACCCAACCTTGTTGGCTAGGGTGCCCAGAAGTCAAGCCTGGTGACCCGAATGAAAAAAACAAAAAACAAACATCGATTGATTAATTAATATATGATAACCAGTTGACCTTCAAAATAAAAATATCTTGCATTGTTTCTAGGGCAATTATCCTCTTTACAGATGCCAAAGATAAAAGTGTTACATGTACATGCAACGTTTTATAATACTGTTGTCGAAAGTCCACAAAGAAAGACAAACTTAACAGATTTTTTACTTAAAATGGTTGATATATACATGTAGAAAAATTAAGTCCTTTTTCCCTCTATGCTTCTGAGTGGGAAAATTTTTTTTACTGACAACAATTCATACGCGGTCCAGCAGCACATCTCCGTATAGCCCAAATAAGGGAGTACCCCCCTACCCCTGGGGTTTCGAGTTCACGGATGGATTTACAGTGTAAGCATTTTGTATTGAGCCATTTTGCCTTGTAAACTTCAATACATCACAAGAAATTAAAAAGAGAAAGACAAATAATTGTGAGACTGTTTTCATCTCTAAGTTAAATCTCAAATAGGAGGTCGCCTGGCCAGGCAACTAGGTATGTTTTTCTTGTCGCCCTAAGATGGAAGCCAGTTGCCTGAAGCCACTGATGCCGCTAGAGCACAGCCTTGCATTACTCACAAACTTTAAGGCACAGCAGCAAAGATCAAAAGTATAGATCTAGTATCTGTTAACAGCATGCAGGCATTTTAAGTATGGAAATAATAATTGCACTCAGGAGATGCTGATGAAAAACATTTATGATGGGTTTTTTGGAGATGTTAAAAGATGTGTTTGTTAACTCTTAGAAAGAAGCCTTTTTGTTTAGTTTAAAGGGCACTTCTTTTTCTTACTCACGATTGAAGTAAAAAAAAGGTTGTGCGAGGTTAATGTGTGTTACAAAAGAATTGTTCATTCGTGTGGTGCTAAAAATAAATGCGGTCATTTCCAATCCAGCATTTGGGTCTCTTGCAGACAACAGAAATATTTCCTATGATATTCTCCCTACCTTTTCATACTTGCGTTCTAAAAATTCGGCACACATAATTTTGTGTCTTGTGAGTAGATCCTGTAAATGAAAGTCAAGAGACCTACTAAACACTCAACAATGTAAAGACATTTATTTCTTTAATCTCCTACCATCACCTGCCTTAGAAATGTCATTAACAGCCTCGCATTTTCTGCCATTGCAAAGATTGACTAACTAGACTGAGTGACTGAGTGACTGACTGACTAACTGACTGACTATAAACTAATTCACTCACTCACTAACCAACTAACCAGTGTTTCAGCCAGAAAATTTTACTTGAGGGCCAAAGAGGCCTCTGAAGAGCTTTTTCAGGGGCCATTTATTAGGAAAGGGGCCAATAAATAATAATAGGTGAAAAAATAGTCGCCAAATGCAAATGTTTGGTGGCCAGACACTGGTACGAAGGATCTGGCATACATGACATAGTCAATGATCAAGGGTTTTCAATGCACTATAGGGTGATTTCAAATACGGTCAGCTTTTCCGATGTGAGAGAATCAATTAACAGCAAAGCAAAAGGATGGATTGACTTCTTTTCTTATGTTGAATGCTACAGAAGCAAAGATCGTTCATCGTTCTAGAAGGACATAATGTGTGGGAAAATAACCATTATGGATCGTCAACAAAGAGAAATGGAGGAGGAGGAAAAACTATAGGTTATTAATTAAATGACACTTTACCTTAAATGTAGTGAATGCATCTGATGCAATATCAAATGTTGACATTTCAACATATTCAAAGAAATTGAAGAATCTGTCATCACTAGTTATAGCTCTAGCTAACGGCTCATATTTCATACATTCCCTTAGCATAATGCCACAATTTAAAGCCACTTCATGGGTTTCATACCTACAAAGACAAAGCAACATCAATTCACTGTACATACAAACAGGTCACAACTTTGTAAGGGGTTTTAAGTGGGCTTATACTGGGAGGGGAGGGGAAGGGGTGGGTTGTATCCAGGGAGCTTACAAGCTGTATAAAACAAAACAGTTTGCAATAAAATAGTTTGGAAATGAGCTGACAAGAAATGATGTTCAAACTCTGGTGATGGAAATTATATAATTATTATAATAAAGTGTATTATCATTTGTCTCACGACGTAGTCACTTGAGATGTAGATCGCGATGTTTCGACTGCTTACTGCTAGTCTTCTTCAGG